TTTGAAAATGTCCACCGCAGTTGTGGACGAAACGTCAGGAAGAAATTCCGATAGACCACGGCTTCAAAGCCCGGAAAACATTCCTAAATGTAATTTATTTTTTATTTTGAAGCCGTGGTCTATCGGAATTTCTTCCTGTCCACCGGACCAGTCTTAGTCGGAAAGCACGGGAGATCACTTCGCCCACTGCCTCATCGCCTTTGAAAATGTCCACCGCAGTTGTGGACGAAACGTCAGGAAGAAATTCCGATAGATCACGGCTTCAAAGCCCGGAAAACATTCCTAAATGTCATTTTGTTATAATCCAGATATTCAATGAAGGCGAATCACACGCGCCGTGGATTAATAGCTACAAGCGCGTAGTCAGGTAAACCAAAAGTTATCATGCTTCGCGTCATCTATTGCTTCAATAATTTGGCCGAACATTTTTATTAAACAATAGTTTATCTTTATTTAATTATCTGTGGTTTGCATTTTTGCGTGCCTCGAGCCAGGTCTAAAGCAGGCTGGTCACTGGAAAATGAATAAGTGAACTTGCGCCTGCAGTTATTGTGTGTTTCTAAAATCATAATGAAACTACAGTTTTTAAAGGAAATTTTTTTCTAGGACAGCGCGTTTGTAAATTGAACGTTGACTCTATATGCAATTTAGGCTCTTCACTATAGCTCACAAACACGTTACTTTTCTTGGCTCTACTGATGGCTAAATTCACAACATGAACTTTTGTCGCATTTGCTTTCGTGGATGTTTGCCATGGAAGCATTCATGGTTTTGCCATGGAAGCACCAAGATTCATGAAAATATTCCTATTAAGTACTAATTACGTAATTTCGCATATGCTGTTCGATTGCTGCGAATTTGAAATCGAGGATTCCTTAGCGAAATTAACAACCAAAATAGTGCTTTTTGTATTGGTGAAATGTTTAGTCTAAAACGGGACAAAAGCCGATATTTTACGCACTGTTGCGTTGTTTGGTTGGGGGTTCAGGCCCAAGTGAAACAGTATCTGACACCTCAATTAAAATAAAGCAGTTATTCAAGCAATTATCACAAACCTGGATAGGAATCCATTTCCAAATGGGGCATAACGGCGCAGCTTTCAGGATAAAAATTCCTGTTGCTGTAAAGGTCCCGAATGCAAAGATTTATGGGCATTTTATCGTTCAAACTTTACAGCAACAACAAAGACAGCAGCAACAACAGCAACAACACATGATTTTCAAAAAGTAAAGGAACAGCGAACAAAGAGAAAACAGTTCTAATTCGTTGGTTCTGTACACTTGCGGATGCATAACTTTCATAGGTAGCGAAGAACAACACCGAAAAATTTCACTTTTTTGAAAAAAATCTAAACTGGGCACACGCGAAAAGTTCAATAAATGGTTCGGCATTCGATAGTAAAGTTATTCCCGTCACAAGTTAAGCAAACTTATCATTGCATACACTGCGAGCATTTTCAAAAGTCGCTAAAAAGATTTAGGTAAGTAGATAAAAAATAGGCTGATAATATAGTTCAATTAAAATTGTCGTTATCAACAATAAGATAAGTAATAAGTAAGGTAAATAGCTAGCGACGTTGCCAAGTGCCGATTCGAAAAACCGCAATTACTCGAAAAAGTAATGTTGAACTGGAAAAACACAGACTGACTATTAACTTAAGTCTTAACTTAAGAACATAAGTACGCACTACTATGAGTACTGATTACTGATTCTCAATGCTCTCTTATCACATAACGATTTTAAGTGTTTTTCTTATTTTTAATGACTAAGCATGTATTTGGGTTATTCTTGGATAAAATTTGCTTCGAGCAACAGACATAAAGATAAGTCAAAACTATTCAGTGAAAACTTGCTGTTAGCGATAGTGACGTTTTGTAATTCGCAATTGTGATTTCTGATTACACCAAAGGCGGAAGGCAAATTGCATTTGCGATTATCCATCTCAAATTAACAAATCGCGTAGACATTTCTATTCTACGTTTCCCAGAATGGAATGCTGTGCTGTTGTTTCCTGAATTGCGCAAAAATTCCACACACTCAAATATAAATAGGTTTGATAATTGATAAGAAAGATCTGGGCTTGGAAACAATCTGCTAAAGTGACAAGCACTTTTTATTTACAGTAATGATTTCTTCATTAGCTTCAGAGTGCAAATGATGGAAAATGCGCCCGGACTAAATCCTAATTTTGTAGTCCGATTGCATCAAACCTGTTTATCTGAACCAAGCAAACAGTGAAATGCGGTAATGAGTAAAGGACTTCCACAGATTTTTTGGAAATGAACACCCCTGTATATGAGAACCCAGCAGTAGCTATTTAATAATATATATTAGAGGCAATGCGTTTTGCGTTTTAAATTAATTCTGACCCTACGTGTCCCCCATCGCTTTTGATAATGTTATCTATTTTGAGAAACATGGAATTAAATGTTCTAAGTTTTTACCACACGCGGACTGACAATGAGTTGCATGGCAGGATTGGAAGTTTGAAACGTGCTCCTGTGAATCTGCACTTTTCGCATACCTACATGATTAATTCTCATATGGCATAAAATATTAAATATCGCACAAAAAAGCCAAATTGTTTTATCAAACTGCCTGTCAGCTAATCTACAGGGCATAATGTTCTAGGCATTAAACTTTTTTTCACTGCTGCTATATGATGGATACCGGTTTAACATGTTGTTTAAAAACCACTATCAACCAATCATTGCTCTAATAATAATGAAGGAATTTATGAAAATTGCCATCACGATGACGGTGCAAATTTAGTTCATTACAGACAGGGCCAATAGCTTATTGACAGTATCCATCAATTTTTTTAAATTTCAGAACAACGTACATGGTTATTGAAGTCACGTGAATTATGATGCATTGTGAGCAATTAAAACACTATTTTGTAGCACTTACATCACATGCAACAGTGAATGGGAGAGTAACAGCAACAGCCAAATGGTCCTAACATGGAGGGACGAAAACCGATACCAGTCACGTCGCACATTTTATTATCGGCATAAAATACTTTTTCAGAACTGTTCATTTTTTTTTCACTGCCAAAAATCTCCTGCTCACTCACATCAAGCGCGAAACCACCAACGTAAGTCCAGATAATGTGACTCGTAATTGTTAATTTGCCAGTTCCTTCTGTTAATTCGTGATACGTTAGGTAAACTGAAATTATAATTAAGAATGATCGCAAACTTTGTCATGTAAGCACCACCTGTTAGAAATTTGAACACAATGCACTAAATGTTTGACTGGATCATACAGAAATAGACTCCGTAGTGTTATTTTTACATACAGTCAATAATGAGTTGGCCATTCCACGATTATTATTTAGGATTCTCTAATAAAATCTACATTAACTAGTGACCTAATTTCAAACACACTGAATAATCGACCTACGCATGTTGTGTGGCGTTATAATTCAGTTACTTCACTTAATCATAAATGAAATTCGGAGTGTTATATATGAAATCTCAAGATTCTGAATAATTCATTCAAAAATGTTGCATGATGGAGATACCCAAGGAAGCAGCTTTTTGGCGACTCTGTATTGATAAGAATTTACTCAATGTCAATCATTATTTTCGCATTCACCAGCACTTAGTAGAACACATTTTATTGATCACTACAGAATGAGCAGAAGAGCAGGGGCATCTGTGTTTCAGAGCATCAACTATTAAATTCTGTTATTTTCGTAGCTTTTACAACTTTTCATAGACTTCTAGAGGAATAACCCCGATTTTGATTCACTCTTGTATGACTCAATAAAGCCCGTGTCACATGCATTCGTTTGTACGATGATACGATGGTACGAAAGTGTTTCTATTGGTTGGAGATCTGTCAATTCGTACGACGACGGACGAACTGACAGATCTCCAACCAATAGAAACACTCGTACCATCGTATCATCGTACAAACGGATGCATGGGACACGGGCTTAAACTGCTCAACAAAATAATCGTCAGACGGCCAAATTTTCCTTAACTTTGGTACTGGATAACTTTTGGATGCTGTCAGCGATTTGATTCCTGTGTTTATTCCAGTCGGTAAATATTTTTGGAAAAAATTTTGCCTTTTCAAAATTGGGAATTTTTTTTTCGAATTTCAAGATTAAAGACTGAAGGATAGACTTCGATGGGAAACGATTTTTTAATTTTTCGGCTATCCCTTTTACCCACAGGGTGATCTCAAAAAAGCTAACTTTTTGGTCTTGCAGTCATCACATTTTTCCCGTTGGACCGATTTTTCAAAACTCACGCTCATGTTGAGACCAAAACGTCATAATCGACTTAAGAACAAACTTTTACCGTACATGCAAACCGCATGAATAAACGGATTGTTTCAAAGTAAAGTTCACTTTCTGCCAGAATCCGAGACACTTCGGGTGGCAGTTCTGATTTGCGGCTTTTTAACTATACACTATATTTCGAAAATCGGTCCAACAGCAAAACCAAAAACATTATTATTTTAAACACTCCAGAAAGATAGCTTTTTGTTCAACTGGGCGCATGTTAACATTTCAGAAAACTCGCGTTGTGTCTTTTCCACCCTGCAGAAACTTTAGCTGAAGCACTAAATTGTGGCAAAAACACAAATTGACCGTAAAAATGCATTGAAATTTGTTCAGTTCCAAAGTTTAAGCAAATTTGGCGGTGAAACGTATATTTTGTTGAGCATTTTAATTTCCTCATGAGATGAAATAAGACGGACCACCCTGTATACGGGGTGGTTTAAAAGCACTCGGTACAAAAATATACAGTTAAAGATGCATTAAAAAACTTATTATACCCGAAACCGGTTGGGATATTTACATGAAATTTTGCAGCTATCGAGTGGTGATGTTTCCATTGAATTAAAGATTTTCCGGGTTCGCCAGTGACCGCGTACCGACATGATATTTAATACTTTTGAAGGAAAAAAGAGTGCACCACTGATCTAACGAAAAATAAATTTTACTGTTCTTTGCTTGTTCAATTTCAAACAAAAAACTATGTGGAGTTTTTTTCGTGCGACGATAATTTTCGAGTAAAAAGATTAAAGCGGTATTAAAACACGTCTTGGAATCATCACAACCAGGCTCATTTTTTTGTTTTGAACAAACAAGGAACCGACCGGATCAATATTTTATGGATAGGACACTAAATGCTTGTAATTTGGCTGCAGGAGAAGATTTCGAACAATCTATTTAAGCTAGATTTTGTTGGTGTAATCCGTGCATTAAAACCACTTTTAATTTTTACTAGAAAATCATGCAATGTTGGAAGAAAACTCAGGAGAATTTCTGTTTGGAATTGAATAAGAAATGAGTGTGAAATTGATTTTTTGATTAATCAGTGGCGCACCATTTCTTTCTTCAAAAATATTGAATGTTCTGTCGCTACGAGGGACCATGAAGAAATTTCATTAAAACATCTCAAGCGGTTTCGTATTTATTAATATGTTGTATGGCTAATAAAACTTTTCGCCTTAAATTTTCGCTCCGATGTTCTTAAAGACCCTCATTTAACCAGCTCCTAAAATTTGGCGGAGGAGTTTTGAAATCACCTTGTAAGCCGGTATTAACTGTGCGCAGCATATAGTGAGCCAAGCAAATAATGAAAATAACTAGATTTAGTTATTTAAATTTATTGTAAAAATTGCTGACCTTCGTTCATGGCCATGTCCATCAACTGCAAGTCTTCGTCGTTCAGCAAATTGGACAAGAACCCATCAGTTTGATTGTTGGAGAATTCAGAGCCAGTATTATTCTGAAAATCAAACAACAGTTAGTTATTAACTATTGACGAACGATTTGTAGAACACGTTCTTTGTCTCTTGTTAAAAGGTGCATTGATTATGCTCAGCATTGCTAATCAAAAAATCGATTATTCCTTAGGGCATACATTCAAAACCGTACCTGGTAGTACATCATATCATTAGATGGTTCCAGCTTGTAATGTGGGGCTGAGCTCGGTTCTCCCATTGGTTCACTGCTGTTAGTTAAGTTCATGGAGGTGGCCACAGCATTGCTAATGGTTCCTCCTAAAACAAGTGTGAAGTTTTTGAGAAAACGTTTTTTGGTGTGTAGTTCAAACTAGATTTTCTTCCTGTTATTCAACGATTTTAACGGTGTAACCGAATCTTCTAATCATTTGTACCATACGGAGTATACCAAAAACTAATCTGAAAAGCAAAATCTCAATGCAGGCAAGGTTAATTGTTTCTGTAACTTTGGAGCGCGATTATTCGAAAACCTCTGGACAAAAAGCAACAAAGTAGTAACTAGTGTAAAGAGAATTGAACGCCCTTTAAAGCGATGTACCACTTGACCCCCCTTCCCATTTAAGAGTCTAAGGGTGACATCTACCCGTCCTAGGGGGTTGGAATAAGGAGGCTAAAAATATTAATTTAAAATCCCTTGCAAAAGTCCCCCTTGCAAATGAAATCGACGGATCTTTTCGACTTTTCATATTTTTAACTGTAAGATATTAATGGTGGGAGGTTTTCAAATTGACCCCCGGTATACAGGGTGTTCAGATAATGCGTTAGAAAACTATTTAATCACTTTGAAGATTCTTAAAAAATCCATGAAATCAGGGTTTGAATGAGCTGATTGTGAATCGAAATCGATTGAGAAAAAAGGTGTCCTTACCTAAATTTCCATAGGGCATGGTACTATTCAGGTCCCCCATAGGTGTAGGGAGAGTGGCATTATGCAAAAGTACACCCCTGGCATCGTAGGTAGTGGCAGGGTGTGCGTGCGCATGAGGGTGGCCGTAATTGGGGAGGGCGTGGTGAGCCCCAAAGGGGTGGATCTCGCCAGGGTTGGGGAGACTTAGCAGATTTGCCAGGTCTTGCCAGCGCTGCTCCATGCTAACGGTGCGCACATAGGGCATGCGACTCTGGAAATAGCAAATCGTTATTTTTTGCACGCTCTGTCGGGATAAAAACGTTTGGGGTAGAGTCGAACTGGGGTAATGCTTTCGCTTGTCTTCGGCTTCTCTAGGCAGGGCCGCATACCAAGAATTTTCCGATATTTCGCCCTGCTAGTTGCGAATATTACAGCTATAGAAGCATAACATTTTCACGTTCAGCGTTCAGAGCCATACACAAAACACTCCCAAATCGGATCAATTCCAGTTACATTTTATTAATTCACTATGGTTTTCTCGTCTTTAAACAGCCGGGCATATTAAGAATGGAATTAATATATGGAAGTTACTAATAATTTTCCGCAAAATTTAATTGATTAACAATTCAGTTAAGTTATTAATCGCAAATCTACACAAATCTGCGTTCAAAAACTCAATTTGGAAGGTTAATAACCGAGAAAACTGTTATGGTGCCGTGAAGTAACAATGGACATAACAATACTCAGAAGGTAGGCGGAGAAAAAAGCAAGACCAAGACTTTTACACGAATTTTGCGAGGCTTTGGCTAGAATATTTGTTCCATTTTTTTAACTTTTACCTTGAAATATTGAATCAGTTAATGATTCAACAACATGATGAAAAGGATACTTCGATATTTTTTGAATCAAAACCCGACGATCTGAGCTAACTTTTAGTAAGAAAAATGTCGGGCTCCTCGGCTATTAATGATCAAAGTTCTTCGAAAAATCATCGTTTTTGAAATGTTGGAATTGGTTTGAATCATAGATTAACTAATGAATGAAACTCGCTGTGAATTTGTTCCTACATCAGATCTATACTTTGTTGAAAATTTGCGGGATTTCTGATGGACGCAATTCGGACGGAAGCGCTTCCAAAAGACGACCGGCCTAAATCTTTGACCATGTCGGTTAGCTAAAAATTATTTTTGAAAAATGAATTTATTTTAAAAGAACATTGTCGCTTACTACGACATTTCAATTATTTCAATTTAATAATTCCACGTATAATTTTTCCAATCTAATACACGATTATATTTTTTACAAACTTCTCTTTGGGTCTTTCGCCTCAAAAATTTTTGTCTTTAAAAAAGACACAATTTCCTCACGTCTTTTATTACAGATTGATAAATAGTGCTCCTATTTCGCAATAAGAACGAATTATTTATCAAAAAGTAATTTATTAGCGAAATAGGAGCACTATTTATCAATCTGTAATAAAAGACGTGAAGAAATTCTGTCTTTTTTAAAGACAAAAATTTTTGAGGCGAAATACCCAAAAAGAAGTTTGTAAAAAATGAATCCGCCTCAACAATATAGAACTTATCTACACGATTATAATTGAAAACAATTGCTCTTACATATTTGACAAACGCATTCCGCTACTAATCAAAACGCAATATAGAATTTGTCTGTTTTATACCGAAGCTTAAGGTCTAAGAAGAAGCCAACAATCACGATCAGTTAACAAACATTAAATAAAACATGTTTAATTTTACTTTAAATAATAAACTAGAGCATTTACCTTGAAATTTAGTAACTACTGAACGCCTGTGTGCTTTTTTTGAGACTATTAGATTGGAACAAATAACCAAATATACAGTCTGAAACACTATCCGCTCCACACAACCTTACTTCTATCCCATTTTAACTATTAATTTACTTAAATGTTGAGTCGATGAGTTCAAAATGCTCAACAAGAGATCTGAGTTTTCTCCAACAAACAATCTTACTTTTTTATGTTTTTTTTATAACGCGTTATCCAATTCGAGGTTGGGAAAGCAAAACCTTGCTATTTGATATATCTGTTAAAGGTAAACGCCATCCGAAGCGTTTTTGGTTTAGTTGAAGCTTTGCCATTTTGGAATATGGATCGTTTAACTGTCGAAGAACGCGCAAAAATTATTAAATGTTACTAGAAAAATGATGATTCTGCTGTATCAACGTTTAGGGCTTTACAAGCAGATTACGGTTCGACATAATCGACCCACAGAGCAAATAATTTCGAACACAGTGGAAAAATTTGAAGACTGGATCAGTTACTGATATTGTAAGGCCTGTGCATCATCGCAACATTCGTTCAGCTGAAAATATCGCTGTTGTTGCTCAAAGTGTACAGGAAGACCCGAATTCGTCGATTCTCCGACGTGCTCAACATTTGGGCTTGTCTTACGGCTCATTATGGCGAATTTTGCAATTGGATTTGAAGCTTCATCCGTACAACGTCCAACTGACTCAAGAACTTAAGCCTCAATGCGAAGGGCAACGCAGAACATACGCAAATTAGGGGATTGAACAACAAGCCGTTGATGATGATTTTTCGAACCGAATCTTCTTCAGCGATGAGGCTCATTTTTCGCTCGGTGGTTACGTGAATAAACAGAACAGCCGTATATGAGACTCAAAATCCTCAGGTGATCGCAGAAAGTCCTTTGCATCGTGAAAAAATGACCGTATGGTGTGGGTTATGGTCCGGTGGTGTTATTGGCCCGTATTTTTTTTAAAACGATCAAGGAAGAGCCATAACAGTCACTTCTGAGCGCTATGGACGCATGTTAACCGATTATTTTTGGAGAGAAATTGAAGATTATGATCTGGAAAAAGGGGCAAGAGTCACACAACACTGGCAGTTAGAGCCCTATTGCAAGAGAAATTTCCAGATGTCAATTGGCCCGCAAGATCCTGCGACTTAACACCGTTAGATTTCTTTTTGTGGGCTTATGCGAAAGATTGTATTTACGCCAACAATCCTCAAACTCTTGAACAACTGAAAGCCAATATCCGTGAAGTTATGACCAATATATTACCGGTATTGTGCCGAAGTCATTCAAAATGACCTCAAAAGAATTGAGGCCTGTAGGAGGTCCCTGTCCCCTGTGGAGTACATTTAAATGATATTGTTTTTCACGTATTCAATCGCAAGCTTCAATCTATATATTGAATTAAAATTTTCGTCTCCATCTGAATATTTTGCGTTTTTTTTTTACTTTACTTTCCCAAGCATAAAACGGATAACCCTGTATTTTTATATCTGTTGCTAAGCATTAGACAGTTTTGGGCCAGTGTAACCTATGATTTTTCTGCCTATGTTTTTGTAATTCTTCCGATTAAAAAATACCACAAATAGGAGATATTAGATTGTCTTCTTTTGAAGAAAAGTAAGACTTGCAAGTCTCTTTCTGCACTCTGCACTGGTCTTGCTCCACTCCACATACATTTTTATCGTTCAATAGTACCTACTCTAGTCTGATGTATCAAGTCCAATAGATAAGCAAATAATTGGAAACGTTGCCCGAAAAATCTGATACTGAAATTGAATAGACACAGGTTCCATTCATTAGTCAGCTCTAGCCTGAATTTGAGCACACTTCAGTTTGACGGGTAAAAGATAGAAATGACTGCCACAGCGGGACCCACGAACCTTCCCACGAAGTGCATTGTTGCCCTTAAATTATGGTTCACCAGCTAAGTCAATATTTTGGTACCGGTACCACTATGAGGAATGTTATTCTACTCATCAGACTGTGAGTAAGAAGTAAAAATCGAGTGTTTATTAATTACTGCATATTTTTTTGGAAAAAATGTATTCAGTTGAAAACGCGAAGAAGGTTTGAAAGACATATCGGGATTTCTCAGCAGTAGTCAATTGTGCATTAATTGTGCAGTCTGGGTTCTCTCAAGGGTCTAATTGGTTTAATCCCTTTGAGCGTTTCTGAACAATATTCTTAGTGAGACACCATAGAAGAGTCCAAATCCATTATTGGGCGATTTAAACTGACCGAACATAAAATTACCTCTATTTCCCAAGGTACAACAAAAAGGGATTAACCGAAAATCCGATTGACTCGCCCTTGTTGTTTCTACAAATTAACCGTATGCGGTTAGAATTCTTTTGTAGAATTTTATCATTTTGCACCTGCAGTGACAGTTGGGACAGGTACCGAACAATGCAAACTCGATGGAAGATAAATGTACCGATGATGGCACTTTAAAACCTTAACAGAACGATAATTTGACAAGAGGAACCCGCATCTAACAAAAGAAGCCAGTGGTTCAGTCTCAGCAACTCATTTGTCATAATAAAAATTTACTTTGAAATTTTACCATCCATCTTCCAAATTATTTTAAACCGCTTCTTTGTAGATATTATTTGTGAGTTGTGTATAAGGCAGCGGTGGTTTCCTTTGATAATTGCTGATTGAAAAGAACCATAGCATTTCAGGCGGCTGAAAAGACCTCCAAACATTAGATTTAATAGACGCACTGGGAGAAATAATCCTCCCAGCACTAATCAACGCAAATGATATTCCCGATTTGAACCTAATAACTTGTTTTCCTATATGGAAAGAATAAACTGGGAAACTTCAATATTTACCAACAAGTCCCGGTCTTGATCTTGCAGCAAGGTCTAGCCAGTCTTGCTTTTAAATAAGCCATAAAATTAATTCAATAATAAAAGTAAAAGATAACGATTTCCAATACACAACAATAAAACAATCGCAGGGTGTTTGCGATTTGATTTTCGTATGATTTTCTTATCATTATTTTGTAATTCAGAATTTTTTTGTCCTTATCCAACTCGAATATATTTTCACGCAGTATGAATTGCATATCCTAACAAAAGTACAACAAATTTGATTTAATGTGCAGATGATATTTTTGCGTTTTGATTGGGCTTAAAAAACTTTAACCGTCGCGCCCATTGGGCAATTATGAGGACAAACTCAATTATTAACAATTCACTAATAATTCTTCCAAGGCTTGAATAATCTTACTGTTTACACATCAACTTGTTTCAAGAGATATTGGAAAAATTGTAAATAAATTGTAGATTTATTCTAAACTGTTCAGCCGCATTTATTTACTACTCACCATTTATCGAATGTGCATAAAAACGTATATTTTCTTATTAACTTATTCTGCAATATCAAAAAATATTAGAACAAACATTCGTACCAACTATGTCCCTCTTGTTCCAAGCTTCGGTTCCTAATTTTACGTTAATTCCACTGAAAGTGAATTGTTGGCATGTGAAGCGTTTAAAACGGTTGCATTTTCTTGTAACACTTAAAGGCTGCGTGGACAGATTTAATGGGGTTTGAATTTGGAATTTTGCAAGACCCAAACCAGTGTCGCTCATCACCAATTTGAATAAAAATATCAATCAACACTTATCAGAAACAAACAATTTCGACTTACAAATATAGATTAATATCCGCTGCATTTTCCGCTTCGATCAAATGTATGTGAGATGTTCAAAAACTGTCATCTTAGAACAAATATTCGTAACCAGCACTAGAATGTTTATCACCACATTTAATCCCGAACATATTAGTTTTATCTGAATAATCAAAATGTGAGGCGCGTGAAAGTTTCAAATAAGCTGATATGAAACTAGGAAAAATAGCAAATAACATCAAACAGCCGGCTTTATCTAATTTAGCCTTCAGCAGTATCTCCACCGAAGGTTAAAAGAAACAAAGGTAAAGTAATTACTTTCGAAAATTATGTAATTTAAAATTTTTAGGAAGTAATAAATTGTTCTTGTTTCATGCGGTTATCAAAATGATAACTTGCTTTTAATTGAATAGATTAGAGTATTCGAACAAACAAATGTAGTTGAAACTTTCACAAACAATCTTTGCCATAGTTGTAAATGTATAAAATTAATACATTACTGATGGGCCTTTTTTCTTATTACAGTCTTTAAAAACAGCTTAGCGAATATTATTAAGCCCAGAAAAGTTTGTGGTAATTAAGCATTCAGTGGCTTTCATCCATATACTGTGTTGTGGACAACCAAAACACTTTTTACTTTTCAGCGTGTTAGAAATTTCTCAGTTCTGAGACAAAACATAATGCAATTACATTAAACCCTGACATGTGATAATTAAAACGTTAAGCCTCTTCCGCAGTAAACGAATAACTTTCAGAGGTAATTGCGCCATTTTCTCAGTTACGGTTGAGCGTTTTTCTTATTTAATGCGTGAGTGGCTCTAAACGTGCGTGACCATGTTTTTCCAAATGGAAAATCAATTTTCCGAATAAAGAGTATAGGTTGAACTCACCTGGAACGCAGCCCGGTGATGAGGATGGTGAAATTGGGGTGTCTGAATCATATCTGCAAATATATCAAAATCGACTCCAATGTCGCTGCTTGAATTGGTTGATTCAGAAGTATCGGCCTTCTTGGTGCTATTTTCGAGTGCCTCAAGACCTGTTAAAAGCCCAGAGGCGTTTTTCTGAAAAGTCAGAATTGTTTAAGAACAACATCCCTAATCTGAAGAAATTGGTAGTAAATACCTGTTGCGAGTTTTCATCTTCTAGTGCGACTAAACGTAAAGCTTCATCCAGAAGAAATTCTGGAAGGGGTAGGGCAAGATCTTCTAAGGCGCATGAAGAATTAGCCTCAGCCCCGGGTTCTCCTTTTATTACATACTCTCCTGATGAAATTAATTAGGCATTAGCATGATTGACTTAGGCGCTGTGCCAAATAGAAAGCACCAGACTGCCGAAATGAAATCAATTATACAAATATTTAATATCAAGGAAACAAATCTATTGATTTTTCAAGCTCTTCTGCTTTCAAACCACAGGGGTGCGGCTAATTAAAAAGGTATACCATCGTCAAAGTAGACTACGTATAACCTAGAAAGTAGTTCGATTAATTACCGTGAAGTTAATTAATATTTGTGTAGCGGTTTTATGATTTATTAAATATCAAACTCGGTGCCGAATTAACAACTGAACACATTTTGAACAGTTAAATAACTAGCTGTATAAAGGTGGTAAACTAAAGCAAAGTTAACGCGGCTTCCATCTTCAGAGTTCGTTGCTGAAAAAATTCGAAGAACTTGCTAATAACAATGTTAAATTGAAATTGAGAGTTTGCTTCGGGTACTCGTCTAAGGCCAATAGTGAATGTAAATTTGTCAAACACTAACATCTATGAACTGATTTTGGCTCGCTTTGTGTCATTGAGTTTAATGACATTAATTCTATTAAAGTAATGTTGAGGAGAGCGTAATGAAATTGAACTGCAAACTTCCGTGTTGCAAAGAAATACCGAAAAGTCATCACGAAACATAACGCGTAGAAAGGAAAAATATTTCCAATCAAAGCGGTTATGGCCGGTAAAGGCAAAATGCAATTATTGTGTTTTCCCTGAACGACTGGGATACTTTGAGATTACTCTAGCGATAAACTTATTGACAGCTTCTAAGATCTATTAACTATTCAAATTATCGGCTGGTCTCAGCGTACTTAATTAGTTTTACAATCCGAGAACGTTGATTGCTGATTTGATACCTTGATAGGTAACTCTTGAATAGATTTGAGACAACTCGCGGTTTTGGTTTACCATTTTCATGCAAAGCAAACGCTCTCCATACAAGATTTTGCAAGGAATTGTATTTTCAGCTAAACATTTTCTAGCTCACAAACAGCGAAGCTCGAACGGGGTCGAAGTTTTTTTCGTTTGCATATAAAATATCCAGCCCTGAAATCTCACGAATAGAAGAAGCGAGTTTTTAGCAAAACATGGCCTAAAATTGTCAGTTGGCAAGAAAAGAAATATTTTTTTTTGTGCGAAAACTATGAAAGCTACAAGTCTTTACAAAGAGGACAAAAAGGTCAAGAGAGGAATAGTGCTCAACAATCAACTCAAAAAAAGTCAGTTGATTCCAGCTACCAAATAAAAAGTTCCAGCAGTTTTTGTACCAACACACTCAAGAATTCCTCAATTGCTCAAAGCGGATGAACTCAGTTGCTTCTTATAACTCGAGTTGAAAAATGTAAATATCTCGGAATTAATTTTTTAATTTTAAGATAGCATTACCACATACAACACATTATAAAAAAGTTGTACGTACTTTCCTGACTGTGTTTCAATTCCAAATTAAAATCAAATCCTGGGTTCTTCAGTCATTTATTGTCTATTTATCAATTAAAAAAACGTTTCGGTGTTTTCCACCATCATCAGTTTCAATGTGTAGCGTTGTTGCTACTTTACGCCTTGGCATGTATTTGGAGTATTCTTTTATTTGTGTTTTGTTTTATTTTACCTTTGAAATTTGTTAAGATGTTACACAATCTATTTCTGATCTCGTTCTTTGCCTCATTATTTAGTGAGAATATTCCATGTTCAATGCTTGTTATGATTTCTGAAATTGGACCATAATGAGACTTATTTATGGAAAACCTTGGTCCAAGTGATAAGATGTATTTTACGTTGTTCGGTATGTTTAGTGAAGTCAAATTCTTTATC